TCAAGTCCTCCCAGTCCCCAAAATAAGGTTTGAGGAGGAGAGTAAGAACCCAGACCCCAAAACTATCATTTAATAATAAGATCTTCCATATTTGTAGCATTTATGATGAACTGGGCATATAGCCAAATGTTTTCATTACATTATATCACTTAATCCAGTGGTTTGCAAACTTATCTACACTTCAACATTGCCTGAAGAGCTTTAAGAAACTACTGATACCTCTCTCCGCCCCAGAAATGATGGCTTAATTGACTTGGAGTGTGGCCTGGGCTTTGGAATTTAAGACCTCCTTTCCCCCAGCCAAGTGATTCTAATGTGCAGCAAATTTGGAGACCTTGACTTAGTCTTAGGACACTCTGCCACAGGAACTACAATCATCCTCTCTTCACAGATGAAACACCTGAGGTTGAGCAAACTCAAGTGACCTCCTCAAGCTCACATCAACACTGAGCAAGAGAGCGGGCACCCCAGCCCAGTCAGACGCTGCCATCCAGTGTGTTGTCTCAACCCTTGCTTTCAGAGTGTGGTCCACAGACCAGAATCCCTCCAAGGGAACGCTGCTGTAGGATGTCGGGATGCCCGGGCGGCACAGTAATGTGCTGCTGACCTGGGGAGCGGCAACTCTAGCCTCCTCGGGGGTCCTCTGACTTCAGTCTAAGTGGGGATCATCTGGGCCGCCGGTTAAAAATGACCTGCCTCGAATATTTTTTTTAGGGAGTTAGAAATGTTAGAGTTATAGCACTTGCTGTACCGTTTTCATGTTTGTGAACTTTAAAGCCAATAGCGATCACCCCTTTGGAGCAGGCACTGAATCGTCTGCTCCTGCCGCCCTGGGGCAGTAATGAGCAGGCAGCAGGGCTCAGTGCTGTTTGCTTGATTGATGTCCGGGTGGAACCAGCGCAGGGCACTAAGGCAATTAGTCCATCCTGATCCGGCCTCGCTTTCTGGGCTGGAGGCTGTTGCCTTACGTGAGTGGGATGCGTGGGAGGCGCAGCCTCTCCTGCAAACTGTGCGGGTAGCGCCGGGCTGCGGGAGGCAGCCGAGCAAGGCGCACGCTCAAAGCAGAGAAGCGTCCAGTTCTGCTCCTGGGCTCCAACGGGCGCCTCAAAACCAATAGTTTCAGCACCCCTGTATGCAGACCTTAGCGGATAGGCGGCGACTCAAGCCCCAGACTCTCCTGGAGAGTCTTCATCCAGTGTAGAAGAAGCATACTTTCTCTTCCTTTCCCTTTTTTTTGTTTTTTAAAGCAAAATAGTAACTTGACGCCAGTCCAAGCAGTTAAAAAGATACTAAAAGCAGCCCAATTTGGAATGGTTTTTAGTAGGTTGATAACAGATGTGGCAAGCCATTTCAGGATATTCTGGGAGATGAGATGGGGAGGACCGGATTCGGAACGACTCGGCCGCCTCTTCTGGGCCCGCCCAGCCAGGTGCCCGCGCCCGGGAGGGGGACCGCCCGCAAGCGTTCTGGAAGGCAGCGGCCCCACGCTTCCTTCCTCCTAATTACTGCCTCGTCGGAGGCATCCGGGCGGCGCGGAGGCAGCCCCGTGCCGAGCAGTGGAGGGCAGACCGCGCCTGCTTTTAATTGTCCACACGCGGCGCTGGGAGGGCGGCGGCACCTGTTCGGCAGGAGCGCGGCTCAAGTTAGAAGCCCGGGCCGCTGCCTGCCGCCGACGCGCGGGGGCGCCCATCCGCATCCGGCGGTCGGGGACGCCTGGGGGTCGAGCGAAGGGGGAGGGGAATGGCCGGGATGGGGGGCGCCGCGGGGGCCGGAGGGGGCCGGGGGCGCTGTGGGGTGTCGCAACGGACGGAGCTGACTCGGGAGGGATGGGAAGGATTAGATTTCTGGTGGAACCCGAGCTCCCCAAGGGAGGTGGGCGCGCATCTCTCAGTGGTCTCACAGAGAAACTGAGCCTTCAATCCAGGCAAGGAGCCTTTGGCTTCCCTGACTTCACGGCGTTGAAGTACCCCACGCTCCTATCTGTTGGAAATTCGGGGGCAAGGAGGGTAAGGAATCTCAAGTAAAAGAATAGTTACCATACAAAATGTCCTGCGTCAATTGCATCCTACAAGTTAGTTCCTTTCTATTAGTAGTGACACATTTTGATAAGGTATTTTTTATTAGGTAAGATAAACCTGGGATAACAAAGGTTGCAGGTGTGAGTTTTCAATTGTAATTTTCTGAGAAATACGTGAATTTTTTTAAAATTTTAATTGTATATTCATCCCATGGAGAATTATTTTACAGTGTGTATATATGCATGTATATATACAAGTATATACCCCAGGGGTGCCAAAAAATGTATACACGTTTTAAGAGATGTTATCTATGTATTACTTATAGTTCACCATAACTCAGAAGTGTCTGGTCGCTGATGGTAACGATTTTGAGCACCTCTTTTAATTGCAGAAGTCAAATGTGACTTGTATTCATCTTTTGTTGTCAGTATATATTGAGTATTACAATTTTAATACAGTTTTTTTTTTCTTGAAGTGCGTATACTTTTTTTGGTACTGTGTGTGTAGTGTTTGTGTATGTGTGTGTATATATATATATACACACACACTACAAACACACACTGTATTTGGACTTTTATATCTATCCACTACCATCTCCTTGCACAATTAAAGTCACAAAAAGATAAAAGAAAGTCTCCCAATATAGAGGAGACTCCGGTATATACCATTATAATCATCATTATTAATTAACATTGTGAAAGTATAGTATTAAACATTCTACAAGTGAAATTATGGTTGCTGTCAAGTTAGACAGTTTTACAAATATACGTGATTTGCTCAGATTGACTTTACATGTAGAAAAAGAGAAATTAGGATATTTAACACAGCTATCTATGATGTAAATTTCTGATGTTATAGATAAACCCTTTATAAAGTCACAGATAACGTTTCCATGATGAAGTAAAAGAGACTTCCAGAGGAGACTAAAAACTTAATGATGGCAGAGACCATCATTGTCTCATGTTTCACTGAGTCTCCAGCTCCTGGCGTATCTGGTTTATATCTTGCCAACTAAAGGTAATGAGGCTTACCTGGAACTGACAGAATCAACCACCAGCAAGTTTCATAAGGAAGCAGCTAAAATAATCAGCAGCCACATACCATGCTGGAAACATTCATGTACCATAGGGGTTGGCCATTGTGGGAAAGGTCTTCTCAGCTCCTATTTGTTTTTGTAAACTTTCCCAGTCTGGGAGTTTTCTTCCTACACTGTTCCTCTGACTTTCTCCATGAAATTTGGAGATATATTTGCATTGTATTAGTGTGTATGGGACACAGTGACCAGGTATTATAGGGTTGGCAGAAATAAGCAAAACAGTACCCTTTATGCGCTGGCCAGAAATAAGCAAGTATCAAGCATTGTAAGAAGGATATCATACTAGCCTCAGAACAAGCATGTTTCATCAGGGGAACAAAGAGAGAATTCTCATCTATGGAGGAAAGACTTTGGAGGCATGTGGCAGTTGAGATGTACTTTAAAGAATGGAAAATATCTTCAACTGGGAAGAAATGGGTTGCACACTCTAAACAGGAGGAATGGCACAAGTAGGAGTGTGGATCACGGGGTATATTCGGGAATTAGGGCAAACACTTGTCCTTGGCCATAAAATATATGAGACTTGAAAGGAGACTTGTAAAAGATAAGACTGGGGTGGGGGGGGAATAAGGCTGGAAATGCTAGTTAGGACCAAATTTTTTAAAAGACCCTTACATGCCAGGCCAAAGAGTTTCTGTTTAGTTTTACAGACAGTAGTTGGAAATAGAAGATTCTTAAGAGAACAAATAACTGGCATTGGGATTACACTTTGGGTGGGTTTTTTCTGCTATTTGGGGTATATAGAAAGCCCATGCAGGAAGATACCAGAGCCTGAACTGGGATTGTGGCAGAGGAAATAAAAAACTGGATAACATATTTGAGAGCTATTTAAAATCACTCCTAGACTGGGCACTGGCTGGGTTTTGAAAGGATTCACCAAGTTTTGTACCCAGGAAACTGAGGAAATCACAGCATTAACATAGGAAGTCAAGGGAAAAGCAATGGACGTGGGGCAAGGAATTCTCTTTTAGACATACGGGAGTTGGAAAGACCTCCAAGAGAAGATGCCCACAAAAGGAGTTAGAAATCAAATTCAACACATGGAGAAACAGGGTCAGAGTTACAGAACAAATTCATCCATGGGGGGACAGGGACAGGAGTGAATGAAACTGCCAGGAACTAAGAAGCAGAAGAGGCCAAGGACAGAGGCTACATGCTCTCCCCTCATCCCGAGTCTTGCTGATGTCTGGAAAAGCCACCCAACCAAAAAACAAATAAATAAATTGCCAGAAAGAGCCGAGTCTAACAAATTTCTTACATCTGAAAAATTTTTAGGTTAAAGGCTTCAGGTAATATGGAAAGAGTGTTGGTGTTTTATTAAGTTTTATTTATTGAACTTACTTAGATTAAAATGAATCTGTAGTTCTAACTTGAGAAAACCACATAGCTACTTCCTTCTTCAGAAAAAAAAATCCTCTAATCTTTAGTGTTGATTCTGATTTTCTGCTCACTCTTCCTCAAAATGTTTAATCAATTTCTGGAACTAGAAGGAATTTAAAATTCAGAGGAGCTAAAACATTGCAAACTTCCTTTTCTAGTTTATTTTTCCAGGCCATTTTCCCTGAGTCGAGATGCACAGGAAATGAATGGTTACTATAACTGGGACATTTGTAGTATAAATACAATTTGTTAACTTTAGACAATTTTCCTAGGCTTTGCTTCTCTCATAACTCAAATTTTGTTTTCTTCTAGGGAGAGAGAAAAACAGGTGATCTAAAAAAAAAAATGAACCTTGCTCTTGCATTACAGTTAACTTTTGTTTGTATGTGCAAATTTTATCCTATAAATCATAGTGTGACCCATCATTGGGGGAACTGAAAAACAAACTAAACTAAAACAAATACAAAAGACCTCTAAACCCATAATTTCCTTTGTGTTTTCTAAAGGTCAAATGCTGCAAATACTGGCCAGATGACACAGAGATCTATAAAGACATTAAAGTCACCCTAATAGAAACAGAACTACTGGCAGAATATGTGATAAGAACATTTGCTGTTGAAAAGGTAAGTCTTCACACTGCTTTTAAAAGCTGTGGTCAGACGTTAGTGGTTCTATACTAGCCTCATTAACTTATCTAGATTAATTTATACGTGGTCATACCTGAATGCAGGTAGGCTTTCTCTGGTGGTTTCTCAAGACTGCATTTTGCTCTCTAATGCTGTAATAGCTCTATTTCATCTTTAAAATATACATTCTCATCTCATAAGAATCTATAGGTTGCAACTAAGCCAAAAGATAATGTCTTTTTGTTTATTTTTCTTTTTCATGTGGTTGATATATTGCTCTGCCCATCTCTCTTTCTTTGTTCACAGAACAGTTTGTTCAGTTGTGATAAATGTCCTTCCAGTTTGATCAATGTCCTTCATGGCATAAGTCCATTGGTTTCCCAGTAGTGAGTTAGGATCAGTGTTGAGACACAGCTCCTAACTTCTCCTGGAGTCCCTCATTCCCTGTGGCTTTCCAAACCTGTGGTTTAACATGGATGGTGGATTTTCCAGGTAGAAATGACCTACCTGGAAACCCCAGTGACTGATCTCCATTAGACATGGGACACTCTTGCATGAAAGCGCATTCATTCATGCTCACCCCCACACTGATCTTAGCCTTCTGTAGTCGCTGGCGTTGTGTCGGTGAATGCTGTGCTTTGGTTCTGCCCTGCCTCATCCCATATGCATGGATGGGGCATCTTCTCTGGGAAGCACTGTAGGGCATAACAGGGAATTTCCTTATTCCCCCTCTTTCTGCTGACATAGGGAGGGGCCGGAAGTGAAGCAAACTGCAGTCCATCCAGAGAAGTGTCACAGGTAGGCTTTGGGGAAAGTGGAGGTGATGTGGCTGAGAAACACTGCCTTCTGAAAGTCCCAGACTGTTCTGTCAAGAGCTGCTCTCCATGACTGAGCCCTGCCATCTGCACTGGACTTAGCAATATTGGCAGGTTCTTGTTCTGCTTACACCCCTTTTTTTACACCCCATCAGACTATTGGGCTGTGGGCTCTTGGCCTCCCTCTCTACTCTGCATTCTCATTGCGATCTAAATGTACTTTTTAGATGAACAAGGTCAGTTTCAAGAAATCAAGGAAGTTGCAGCATCTCCTTATTGGCTAATTTACCCTGATGTTTTGAACTACCTTTCCTGGTTCGTAGATCCAAATTTGTCATAGAATCACAAGGCTGAAGACTTCAGTTTATTTTAATCTGTTTCTCATACTTATTTAGCATTTTTTTTTCTTAGCCTGTCTTTTTTAATAAGCAGGCAGGAAGCTTGGAGACTTCAAAGAATGTGGAGTTCTGGTTGACTCAATTCTTCAAGTTCTGAACCTCACACTTTGATGTCGATTTTTTTCCTTCTTAGGCAGGATTGGAAAACACACACACACACACACACACACACACACACACACACACACACACACACACGGAGGATTTTTGTATGGCTCTTGGCAAGAGCACTCATGAATAACTGCATTAAACCAGATAGTGATAAAAGACCCTCCATATTTTTTTCTTTAAAAAAAAAATCATCCAAAAGCCATCACTTAAACATGGAGTTCTTTGAACAATACTCAGCTCTCTAATAAGCTGAAAATGCATCTCTGTTGCTAAAGGAAGGGTTTGTTTGTTTCTTTGCTCTTTTTTTAACCTCTTATTGTACTCCCCTGAATTCCCAGCTGCAAAGAAATGTTTCTGAAATACCCAGTTATTTTAGTCATTAAATAACCAATGAAGAAAGGGTGGAGGGAAGAGAAGGAAGAGGAGCTCGTTAATGCATTTGGGGAAATCAAAATGACATGTTAGTGATTTTCTAACCGGGCAATTGGCGTCTTTAAGGAAAACAAATCATTAGTACTTTTGTAGAACATTTCTTGTAGGTTTTAAACTTTCTCATTAGAAGGGAAAGAGAAAAATGGGTAGGCATGTTCGTTGAGATTCCTGCAATTCTGATTCTATTTTGAGAGGACGTTGCATCAAGGGACCTAAAGGTGAAAAATGGATTTAGGTTCTACTCTGCAAAACAAGCAGATACAACGCAGTTTGAAATGGATGAATTCCTGTTTTGCATCTGATTGTTGTCTTTCCTTTCCCACATATTTTATTATTCACAGCTAAACAGATTTTAAATAACATATAGTGCCCATAGTGTCAGGAAGAAGACAGCCCAAATTCTCCATGGATCTAGGCTGTTTGGTGAATCTATCCCTTGCTGTCCTGGCAGAAACAAAATTGACAGTGGCTTGAAAATGCATCCCAGGAGGTATCTAGGATTCAGAGAAGATATGGGAAGAAGATCCTCCTGTCTCAAAGACAGACCTGTACTTTGTGATTATTCATGTCACAAGTATTTATTAAGCACCCACTTTGGGTTAGGTGCTGTTGCATGACTTGAGTTCTTCCTTCTCATTACACTTATGTGGGAAAACTGTCACTTTTGTGAAGGTAGCATTAATGCTCATTATAATGATACACGAAGAACAGATGTAACTAATATCAAACTGGGGCATATTTGGACTGTGATCACTGATCACATCTTTGATATTCTTTGCCGAAACTGCTGTGGTGGATGAACAAGAATGGAAGTTGGATCAGAAGCAATTGCCTTTGCTACTCCTGTCAATAGTGAATATATTCGAGGGTGGCTTATTTTGAGAAAAGATTCTGCATTCCAGAAGCTGAAATTTTCCTTGCTCATAAAATGAGCCTTGGAGAGACCAGTTGGGAGCTATAGTTCAGGGCTGGGGCTGCTGTATCTGAAATCTAGCAAAGCTAGAAAAAGAAGTCCCCATCCCCACCTCTCCCAAAATAAACCCACCAGTATATGGGAGAAAGAAATGCCCTTATTCCCCTTTGGAATAAATCAGTATTTGCTGCAGTTAAGCTTTCCCAGTTCACGGGCTACATACCATCACACTGGGACTAGCCCTGCCCGAGTTGTCATACGTAGCCAGAGGAGCTCTCTAGAGGTTTGGAAGGTGACACAGGCTCAACGGAATGTCTCCTAGTGGAGGTTTGGGCCTGGCAAATGTTGCCATGGTTTCAATAATAAGAAATTTGGGCTCCTCACCACCTAATAATATTACTTCGGGATCATAGAGCCTACTTAGCAGATGACAGTGTTGATTTGCATTTGTGAATCCCTGACTGCTTAATTCCTTAATGCTTAAACTCTGGTGAAGAATAGCATTTTCACAGAGAAATAAAGCTTTAGCATTTGTGGGTTATTAAACTAAGACATATTGACACATTGATAGCAAACAAGTATTATGTTAAAATCTGTAATTGTTTGCTTCTTCTGGTCTTTCAAAGCACGTAAATATTCTGAATTTCTTCCTCACTATGTATGTGTGAACAATGATTGATGGTGAATGTGATAAGGCTAATGAGTGTTTACTTTTAAGATATAATAAAAGTAAGCCTAGGGCCTAATGCAGAAATGGTATTTAGAAAATCGTCATGAAATGAGAGGAGGGAGAAAGTCAAATTTGATCCCAAATTTACATGCAGCCTTGACTCTGTTAATAATTTTTGTTTTCTAATGTCTTTTGCCTTAAAACACAGTCTTAATACATAGGCTCATCGTTAGAAAATAAAATGGGTAGATATAAATTAACTTAATTGTCCTGAAAACAAGAATAAATTAAAAACAAAAGCAACTCTAAAGTCTCTTTTCTTTTGCCTTCCCTCGGTGGAGGGGCAGGCGGCCCTCCCTCCTCAATTTACTGCTCTAACATAGAGTTCCAGCAAAAGGACCTCTGGAAATATCTGGTATTTATCAGTTTACATGCCTGCTTTCCACTATGACCACCACTTGAAGATTATCTCTGTAGCTCTTGCCCCTCGCACAATGCCTGGAGCATCATAGTCACTCAGCTTGCTAGGGATTGAATGAATGGGTTAACTGTTTACCCTCATTACAAAGAGAAAGCTAGCTAACAGAGCTGCGCGTTAACATGAGTTCCCTAGCCTATCAGTTGAAAAGTAGTCCTCAACTGGGCTCAGTGGCTCAGCCTGTAATCCCACGCCTTTGGGAGGCTGAGGTGAGTGGATTGCCTGAGCCCGCGGGTTCGAGACCCACCTGGGCAGCGAGACCTCATCTCTACAATAAATCAAAAAATCAGCCGGGCGTGGTAGCGCATGCCTGTAATTCGGCTACTTGGAAGGCTGAGGCGGAAGGATCGCCGGAGCCCAGCAGGTCGAGGCTGTGGTAGCCGGGAGCAGCCACTGCACTCCAGTCTGGGCGACAGAGTAAGACTCCAACTCAAAAAAAAAAAAGAAAAGCAGTCCTCATTCATTCTTTAGCAGGCATCATGTGAACATGCACACATGATGTGTGGACTGCTCCAGAGCCTGGCACAGCTAGGTGCTAGGACTCACAAGAGCCAGAGCAAGCCAGAGTTGCATCTCAGTAGCTGGTGTTGAGCTCACAGATAGCCTTCACCACCTCAGGATTCTGTTTGGTGCCTCTTTCTCTGTGGACTCTTGCCCATGTCACACACCTTGTGGCACAAACTTATGACATGGCCTCCTTTTTGGAAGGGAATGTCAAAGAAACTCAACAGATCCATCCATCTGCTGGAATTTTACTTGTAAATTAGCATCTTCCCCAGACGTCATCTCCCTTCACACCCACAGACATCTTCCTAAGTGTGACACACACTCCCGATTGTGTGTGAGCACTAAGGATGACCTTCTTCCCCAGCATCCCTCTGTTGTCAGGCCCTAGACTTCCTACTTAGGGTGCTCTCTGTGCCCTGCTTGCTCTTGCTGACCACTTGTTGTTTTCCCTTGTTCTCTTCTGTGTTGTGGCTGACCAACTATGCAGAGAGGCGTTCATGAAATCCGAGAGATCAGACAGTTTCACTTCACTGGCTGGCCGGATCATGGGGTCCCCTACCATGCCACCGGCCTGCTGGGATTTGTGCGGCAGGTCAAATCCAAGAGCCCACCCAATGCAGGCCCATTGGTTGTACACTGTAGGTAAGCAGAGCTCATAGAAACTCTTGAAGGAAATGGGTGATGGGTGTGGGTTCTCCTTTGGGGGTGATGAATATGTTTAGAGCTTGATGGTGGTGGGGGTGCACAACATTGTGAAAGTACTAAATACCACTGAATTGTACCTTTCAAGAGGGTTAATTTTATATTATGTAAATTTTACCTTAATAAAAACTTAACAAAGAAGCAGCAGCACCATGGTCCTTCTTCCACTGACAGACCTCTCTTTCCATTCAGTGCTGGTGCAGGGAGGACTGGCTGTTTCATCGTCATCGATATCATGTTGGACATGGCCGAAAGAGAAGGGGTGGTAGACATTTACAACTGTGTCAGGGAGCTGCGGTCACGGAGAGTGAACATGGTACAAACAGAGGTACTGCCACTCACCACCCATCCCATGGCCTTGGTCTCCAGTGTCTCCACTGCATCCTTACCTCCCAGGGCAAAGGGAACAAGGAATCCAGGAGATTATCCCTTCGAGTGACATACTTGACAGTCCCTGTTCCCACCCTTCTTCCTTCCTTTCTCCTTCCATTCCTCCTTCTCTCCTGCCCGCTCACCCTCCTCCCTTCTTCCCTCCCTCCCTTTCTCCTTTTTATTTTTTTCCTTTCATAAACAAACTCCCAAAAAGTCAAGCTTTCCAGGTAACAGAATCTGTAGCCAATTGCCTAAATTTACACGTTTTTGTGTGTCCAAAAAAGTCTCCATGTTAAGCATTCAGGGTTTCAGTACCATTTTTTAATTATATCTTTTAAACTAGTTGGTAGCCAGAGCAAGACCATTGCGGAGAATAGCCAGGCATTTGCCAAGCGTCTTTAGTGTTATCACTGTACACTTTGTTCTTCTCCAAGGGTCCTGGCAGGAACAGTAGCCTCCTGTCCCTACACATTCCACCCAGTGGCCTGGCATCATGGGAATTTGCCCATTTTGTAGACATAATCTGTGCTAACTGGTAACTCCATAAATTGAAACTTAAGGTAATCAGGAATCTGAATTTTTGAGAAAGAACATTACATCTTGCTCTTAAGACATGTATATTTTTACTCATGTTTGTTTTAAGTGGGTGTGACACCTACCACCTGGAAAATGATTCATAAAGTAGAATGAAGAATAAATAAGAACCCCTTATATTTAGATTGTGCATTAAAGTTTACAAAAGTTTCTGGAAACCTAATCGCATTTTTTTAAGCAACACAAAAATTAAAAGAAACTATAAATGCAGCATTCATGGTCTCTTTTCCTTAGAATGAGAATACCATATATATTTTTTTAATTTTTTATTTTAAAGATATGGAGTACAACTCAGGGTTAAGTATACAAATGTTCATTATGCAGGACCTGGGATACTGTATTTTAAAGATAATAATGACAGCAACTTATGTTTTTAATAATGTGCTTTACAGTCGATCAAATGTTGCCACACCCATTATCTTACTTGACCTTCTTTTTTGAGGTGGTGTTTAGTAGGAGTGGGCTGTTTTTGAGAATTGAGTCCTATAAACAGAAGTTAAGTCAACAGTAATAAGAGACTTTTTTCAACATCTCATACAATTAAAGATCAATAATAAATAAGATAAAATTCTTACTGATTAATTGTAGGGAAAGTCGGTGCCAGATCAGAATTAGAGACTTCATTTTTAAACTGTAGATGTACTATATACACACACAAGAGCTCTTCCCTGCACTTTTAAGTGTTTTTGTGATTATCACTTTAATTAATGTTTGGAAATAAGTATCTCTAAGTATTCAGAGCTGTTTGTCATCATAGTAATGTTAAGTTTCCCTGGACCTTCTTTGCACTATTATTTTGGTCAGCAAATCCTCTACTCATTATAGATAGATTAAAATTCTGCGCATTCCTCATCTGAAATGCTGAATTCCAAATTAGATCAGATTTACAGAGGTATTTTAGCCAGAGTTATCAAGGTGTTGCAGTGCTCACCTGGTTTGTATCAGTATCTGTATAACATCCTGCGTCACACACGGTCTCCTAGCACTCGGGTTCTTAGACATTGTTTCTTCCTGCAGAGGATGCATGTTTCTGTTATCTTGATGATATGGCACTAAAACTGATCTTTTCCTCCTTCTGCAGCTCTCTGAGGTAACCTTGACTTCTCTGTTACTAACTAGTTCCACCTTCTTCTCCAGGAACAATACGTATTTATCCATGATGCCATCCTGGAAGCCTGCCTTTGTGGAGATACCTCTGTTCCTGCTTCCCAAGTTAGGTCCCTGTATTATGACATGAACAAACTAGATCCACAGACAAATTCAAGCCAGATTAAAGAGGAATTCCGGGTAAGTTGTGCTAAGGAGAGGCAATGGACTGGCCTCGGCTCCTTAAGAAGTATCTCAAAGTTAGCGCTTGAACCAACACAGGGTTCGTCTACCTCAGCACTGTTGGCATTGGAGCTGAACAGTTTTTGGTGACAGGTGCTGTCCTGTGGGATTTTTTGTTTGTTTGTTTGTTTGTTTGTTTGTTTTTTTAGTCAGAGTCTCACTCTATCGCCCAGGCTGGAGTACAGTAGCACACTCACGGCCACCCCAGGGTCCACCTGCTGGGCTCAGGATATCCTTCCACCTCAGCATTCCATGTAGCCAGAATTACGGGTCCACACTACCACACCTGGTTAATTTTGGATTTACTGTAGAGACAAAGTCTCACCAAGTTGCCCAGGCTGGTCACAAACCCACAGGCTCAGGCAGTCCTCTCACCTCAGCCTCCCAAAGTGCTGGGATTACAGGCTTGAGCCACTGCACCTGGCCTTTTGTGGGATTTTAAGCAGTGACCACAAGCTCTACCCCTAGATGTCTGTGGCACCACCACACCAAAACTGTGTGCAGACATTTCCAAGTGTCCCTGGAGGGTATAATTACCAACTGAAAAACACTACTCTAACAGAACCATCCCCCCGCCCCCGCTTTGACAGCAGACACCAAGTGTTCCCACAACTGCTTGTCCAGAGTATAACTGTGGGTACAGTTATACACCATAGAAATGGGTATTAAGAATACTTTCTGGGCCTTAGTCCTTCGTTGCATTCCTCATAGTCATGCTTTGTCTAAATGTGACTCTAAGTCAAACTCTTCCCCCACCACTTACCTGCCAAGTCCCCAGGCGTCCAGCTCTAGTCGAACTCGATGGCCCTAAATCCTTGGGATCCACGGTAGCCCTTATGCCTCTGCCTGTGGCTCTTGTGTCTGATGGGCACTCTTTGTGGACGAAATTTGAGAAGAGAGGAATAAAAGTCTAACTGTGGGGGGTTGGGGTGGGAGAAAGGGAAAGGCCAGTGTAAGGAACCCTCTTGCCATCAGCTCAGAAAACTTGCATCTTTTAGATGCTGAACATGAGACAGATTCACTATCATGCTGTTCTCTTCCTCATGTGGCTTTTTTGTGGTCACACAGACCCTAAATATGGTGACGCCGACGCTGCGCGTGGAAGACTGCAGCATCGCGCTTTTGCCCCGGAACCATGAGAAGAACCGGTGCATGGACATCCTGCCCCCAGACCGCTGCCTGCCCTTCCTCATCACCATCGACGGGGAGAGCAGCAACTACATCAATGCCGCCCTGATGGATGTAAGCCTCTGCTGTTCCCCGTGGCACCCTCTGTGCGGGGAGATGGAAGATGGGGAGGCACAGCATGGGTCTTCTCCTGCCCATCTGCCCTTTTGTTTTGTTTTGGTTTGGTTTGGTTTTGACCGGGCTAAATCGCTAACTTAGAGAAAGCCAGGATTATACAGGATTTAGGAGCTAGCATTGGGGCCCTTCTTCTTGCCAAAGGTGAACACAGCATTGATAAACTCTGGTTGTACTGCATCTCTACTTGGCCCGGCCTGTCTTCTTCTTCTTCTCTTGTTTGGCCACCTTAGGAGTATGACCTCTCACTTTCCCAGCACGGGCAAGGGAGCCATGGACTTTACCTCCAAGCACATGACTGGCAACTTCCAGAGTGGCCAGGGCCTCCACCCCACACTGGCCCAGGGTGACTTCATCCTCCAGGGGCATGCCTGCCAGGAGCACAACTTGATCTTCTGGGGTGATGCCCTCCAGCGAGGCTACCTGAGCCTTAATCTGGGAGACCATCTTCCGACTGGTCACCTGAAGGGTGTGTAGCTCCCTGGCACAAAGAGCTTCATAGTGGCAACTGAACAGCAGCCCTGACTGCCACTATCACAAAAATGAAGTCGAGAAAAGAGTACCCTTTTGTTTTTAAGATGAAACTATTTTTACAATAAAACCAGATTTCAGATTTTACGTGTCAGGGCTGATAATCCCTGCCTTCTCCTCTGAGACTGCTGGCCCAGAGTATTGATAAATGGAACATGATACATTCCTCTATGAGTACATCAAGTTTTAACCTGCTGGTCTGATAGAAGACAGTTGTTAAGTCACCATGGCTGAGAAATGGGTGAATACAGTGTGCGGCATAATTGTATTTTCCTTTTCTCCTGATTTTGGCTGTAATTAACATGGGGAAAAACACAAGTCATTACTTCCTGTCAGTCTGTTTACTTCTTGCTATTCTGTTGATGGAAAAAGTTAATGGATCTTTTCAGAGTAATAGGGAAATTTTAATTCTATTGGTGTGATATCACAAAAGGTACTTAAGCTTCTTTGAAGCTCTTCAGAGTTATAAAAAGCATATGTATTCTTTATGGCAGGAATAACTAACATCATCACACACACACAGATGACAAACAAAGACATTTTTGAAAAAGCAGAACTATTTTAATTATGTATAATTTTTAAAGCAAAGTTAAATTTTCTCCATTAAAATACTTATGTATAGATTTAATATTGCTTTTCTACAGAAATGTAAAAAAAGATAAGATAATTTTTATTGGTATCAGAGTGAGGCTATTCTATCATTGCTATTCTCAGATGAGTTTATATTTAGTCTATTTTGGTGTTGACTATGGTAACAGATTTCAACAACTGTTAAATGTGTTCAGTGTTTCAGCCACAAGTTTCTTTGTGCACAAAATAACTTTGCTTCCTCCTTCACATTTTCCTCAGTATATTTGGATCTTTCTTCTTTGTGTTTTCAGAGCTATAAACAGCCTTCAGCTTTTATAGTCACCCAGCATCCTTTGCCAAACACAGTCAAAGATTTCTGGAGACTGGTCCTGGATTATCACTGCACATCTGTAGTTATGCTAAATGATGTGGATCCTGCCCAGGTAAGAACTGGGAATTCTTATGGTCAGGGCTGGTGCCACAGGGCTGAGTTTGTTTACACATGAAGTTTGTTTGCACTTGAGAAGAGCAAGCCCTCATGCCAGGTCTCAAGTGCCCATTGAAGTTTGAGAACTGGGGACGCTAAACATGAGTATGAAACATCAGGTGGAATTAGGGGTTACAAGAGAAAATAAATTGAAAACAAAAAAAACAGCCTGAAATCATAGATGGTAAAAGTGTCATGGCAAGAAAGCATCACAAGTTGGGCTGCCCCCAAAAGATGGAAATGCCCACTGGAAGTTTACGAGGTCATAGAATCAAAGCTCAACCGGCACCTGAATGCCGCAAAGCCAAAAGCAGAGCAAGCAAACCAGAGGACAACAGAGAAAGGAAGAGCATCTGACACAGCCCTGATCCCATCCCTGGAGCCACTGTGTGCTTCCCAAGTCAACTTCCCTGGAGCTCCAGGTAGAGATCATCATGGCAAGTTGACAGTGGAGACAGGCAAGCGATTTTAAGGAACAGCAATTAGTCTTGTCAATGCTTGGTAAAGACATTAAAAAGAAATAAAACTGGGACTTGGAGATAAGAGACACAGTGATAAATGGGGCTTTTGTATAACTCCTCTTAAACATAAAAAGAGAAAGAATTGGACAGCGACGACTCAGTATTAGTAATGGGGTTAGAAGCACTTTCCTAAAGTGGGTTGTCAGGCGATTGTTAGCACAGTGGCCCTCTAGGAGCTGAATGTATTGCTTTGGGGTATTGCTATATCAACCACAAACTTAACCACCATGACAGAGGATACTGGTGAAGTTCAAACTTAGCACGTTAAGAATAAACTTGTGGGAATTGAATTAATTTCCTACCTCGTAGAGAAAAATTGTTTAAGAAAATAAATAAATGAAAGGTCTGAAGCATTTCAGCATCCAAACAGGGTGAGATTTTTCTTTCCTAAAATCTGTTTTGTTGCCATCATCCTGCCATAAATGGCATGGACATTCAATTCATTTCTGCAAGGTTTTCAATTATGTTTGAGGCACTGCATTACATCATCAAAGCTCTTGCCTGAAAGCTAGTTAATGAAATAATAATGATAATCTTTGTTTTCATCCCGGCCTTTTGGCTTAAGAAGCTTAAATATTTTAGAACTCTTCCCCATTGATGCTCTGAGAAGGTTAGATTGCAGCCATTTATAAAGACAAGCAGACACCATGACTTGGGGACCTTCAAAGTCACAACTCAAAATAGAACCAAGGACCTCGATTTTCTAACTTATAGTTCCATGGATGGACGTTTCGCTAATTTAAGACTGTTTAGTCACAGACAATTGCAGGATAAGAGACTTCCCTATTTGGAATCATCATGATTTTTCTAATGTGAATCCTGAAATATGGGAACAGATCATTTTTGTTCATAGTAGCGAACAAGACATCAGTGGTTCTAGTATGTTCTTTTTCCACAACTGCCTTTGAATTCTAACGCTGCATTCTAAGTCCAACTATCTGGCCTCAAACCAAGCCTTGGCTGACTTGGGGTTAGGAGAGACAAAAAGACTCCAGTTCTGTTCAGCAGACAGAACTAATTTTCAGAGTGAGAGAAAAGAAGCTCCTGGGATTCAGTCTTTCAATGAACACTAAACTGAGCATTTGAACGTAAATGCTTTGCAATTGTACAAGAATAGCACTCAACTATTTTAAGTATTTATAGGTCCGGTTCATGGACGTGTTATGCACCATTTAAGCCATTTTCTACATGGTTTACTTGGGCAGAGTTTAGAATGCAACGTGCCAAGAGGCAAGCGCCAGCCTGCACCCTTCATATTTCTTCAGTGTAAGTGACATGTTTTTGATCAGGAGCTTGAACTGTGAGGGCATGCAGAAAGCAAAACTAGCTCAGTCAGTAGAAAAATGGGCAGAGTGGTTCAAATGTGCATGTTACGGCTTTTATTATCATCTCAGCTTCCTATCATAATGCCTATTAGTGTTAGCAGTGGGCACCCTTGTTCATCAAAAAGAAAACAAACATCAGCATGCTATTATTTGACAAGGCAGTTTTATGTCTTGTCACCAGGAAATGCTGGTGAGGAAGGAAAAATGTCATGGAAGTATTATTTTAAAATAAATAAAATGTAATTTCTAAAATACTATAGGCTTAGCTGACATGAAAAGGACCCTTAGTTAGCCTACTTTAATTCTTCGTCATGAAGTCACAACCTTTAACTTTTTTGTAGTGGAGAAAGCAGTATTGTAGTCTTGTTTGACCCACTGTTAACTGAAAACCATCTGGCAGTCTTGGATATAAGTCAACCTTTGCAACTTTTGACAGTGAAATTTTAAATTTTTTGGAAAGTAAAATCATCAAATACAAGAAATTCAATCAGTGGATTCTTCCTTTGTGGTCTATCATTCTACTTTTTTAAAAGGTGATGTTTTTCATCTGCTCTTGGCCCAGTAGAAACAGGTTGTAAAATAATGGAGTAGCTCCCTTTTGCCTCTCCACAAGCCACCTGTCCCTCAGGAAGATAAGAAAAATAAAAGTTACTGGAATACCCAGTGCCAAAGGAAGTTTAATTTCAAACCTTTAAATGCCTATTCAAGTTTCAGGGCCCTAAGAGGAGGTTTTAAAGAAAAAAATCTGACTGTATTTGTAGGAACTTTATGAGATGCAGGCCAGTGGAAGTGTCTCCTTCATAGCCACCACACCTAGCACCACTCCTACCGTTCTGCGCCTGCACTACATTCATGTACAAGTTCTAGTCACTCAATATCACCAATACCTGAAGTTTGAGATTCTAGGAAATTGTGTTTTTAGTTAAAGCCACCTCCAGGTAAAACAGTAAAGCTTTTATTCTTATCACACCAGGTTTTCTAAATCTGATCTGGAAGGATTTGGGCCAGAACATGAAAATGCAACCCAACACTTTTATTTATTCTGAATCTTGTCACAAAGTAGCCATATTCCTAATAATGATCATAAAGCACCACACAAGCACAGCCAGCAGAGGATGGGGATCTGGGCGTTAACAGGTTTGTGCGGCAACCTTACCTCTAGGAGTTGCACCTAGTACATCTCCCCCAGGGCCAGATGACGATTCCTTTCAGCATGCAAAATCTTATGCAGGGAGGTATTGACCACCATCTGCATGACCTCCTTGGGAAAACAGAATTGTTTACAGATAAAAGATGCTTTCTGAGAAAATGAAGAAAAACATCCTAGGAGAAGGAAAGGTGGAGGTGAGGAATTGGCCAAGAAGAAAGTTTAAAAGTCCACTTTGCTGGAAGGAAAAGAAAGAAAGAAACAAAGGGAACCCTTGAAGTCTTAAGGATTACTCAGTGTCAGTACCGACCTCATGCAAACAGGAGTACATGTACTCTTATCATTAACTTGGTGTTTGTTTCTGTGTTTTGAATTCAGTTGTGTCCACAGTACTGGCCAGAAAACGGAGTACACAGACATGGCCCCATCCAGGTGGAGTTTGTTTCTGCTGATCTAGAAGAGGATATCATCAGCAGGATATTCCGTATTTATAACGCAGCCAGAGTAAGAGTCAGACCCATACTGTTTGTGATTGTGGTTTCATTTATTTTCTCCCTCGTTGAAAATGTTGGGTACCCACTCTCTATTAGTTGCCATTCTAGGAGTTTGAAATTCCTCCATAAACCATAAAACAGAGATCCCTGATCTTAGAGAGCTTATATTCTAATAGGGGAAATGATCAAAAAACAAGTATCCAATGATACCTATAGGCACAGTGAGGCAGACTTTATTCTTCGCCTTTGCCATAGGTACAGGGCCCACTTCAAAAGGATCTTGCAACAGGGAGAGAGATGGGGCTCAACTCTGAGTACAGCGTGAGCAAGTGGGGATTTATAGCCAAGGAGCAGGTGGGGGTCAGTGGATGAGAAATTACTAAGAGGAAACATCAGGGGTAAGGGAGATTCTGGCTAAACAGACCTAACAGGATTCTTGCTGAAGACAGGCTAGGGTGATCAGATACCACCTGGGGGATGGCAGAGGATGAGGGAGCCAATCAGATACCAAGGGTGAGTGATGGGATATCGAGGATGGGGGATTTCTTGCTAAATTTACTTAGCAGGAACTGTTAAAACTGGGTTGTATAAGGAAGTTCATGGATGGGCCCAGTAGAGATGGTTCAGGAGCATGACAAGTTTGGTCAAGCAAAGAATTGTTGTCAGAAGACAATAAATAATAGATATAACATATAATATTAGATGTAGTATGTTAGAAAGTGATCAGTGCCACAGAAAAAAGAGAGGGTTAGGACCGGGCTCAGTGGCTCAGCCTGTAATTCCAGCACTTTGGGAGGTCAAGGCGAGTAGATTGCCTGAGCCTGCAAGTTCAAGACCAACCCAGACAACTTGGTGAGACCTCGTCTCTACAATTAAAAAAATATTAGCTGGGCATGGGTAGTGCCCATCTATAGTTCTGGCTACTTGGAAGGCTGAGGCGGAAGGATCACCAGAGCCCAGCAGGTCGACGCTGGGGTGGCCATGAGTGTGCCACTGTACTACAACCTGGGCGACAGAGGGAGACTCCAACTCAAAACAACAACAAAAAAAGTAGGGGATTAGAAAGTGCAAGGGCCATGCACAGGATGGGGAGCAAGGCTCTGTTTTCAATAAATGTGCCCTGTGAGCCAAGACCTGAGAAGGTGAGGGAGCGCCCTGGCTCTCTGGGGAGAGGACTTTGCAGGCAAAAGTAACAGTGCAGAGGCCCTAGCACTTTCTAACCCCCTGCTTATGACTTACTGGAATATTGATGATATTTAAAGCCATGAGACTGAATGAAGACAAATGAGAGATAGAGAATAGGAAGAGCCCCCAAGGAAGGAGCCTGGGGCTTTCTATCAACGAGAGGTCTGGGAGAAGGGAGGTTGAGGCAGAGAGGGAAGGACTGCTGAGAGAGGAACAGCTAGCTGGAGAAAGTGTTGACAAAAAGAGTGTCACCTTTGTCAAATTCTGCTAAAGACTCTGGAAGATTCAGTGCAAGTGACTTAGCCATGGCCAAATTAAAGCTGTTGTTACTTTTCTAACTTAAGCTAAGTAACATTTTTTTTAATTCTGCAATTTCATTAAATTATAACTAAAGATCAACTATTAATATCTTAGCAAGATTCACATCAATAAGCAAAACCATATTATACTCACAGAAAACACAGTATGTTCTATACCACACTGAACTCACAAACATCTCCAAATTATAAATTATTTTTTAAACTGTAATTTACCTGTAATTGAAGCCGTTTTACCATTTAACATGCAATATGGTCAGTGCTTATGTTGTGTTAATTTCCACTTAGCTTTTGCAAAATGGTAAGTATCTGCTTCATTCTTATTTGTCTGACCTGTCACTTAAAAACGCCTAATTTTATAACCACTCGAGATTAAAAGCCACAACTCCTCAGTCTGGTAAACGCTACCTTTGTTACTTGTAAGCCAGACATTCCTTTAATAATGTGAATCTCAAATTGGTGGGAACAGCACCCTGAAGTTCAATGAGGGAAATAATACCTGTTTTCTCTCCACTCCCTGATTGTCTCCTGATTCTCTGTAGCCCCAAGACGGATATCGGATGGTGCAGCAATTCCAGTTCCTAGGCTGGCCGATGTACAGGGACACCCCAGTGTCCAAGCGCTCCTTCCTGAAGCTCATTCGCCAGGTGGACAAATGGCAGGAGGAGTACAACGGCGGGGAAGGCCGCACTGTCGTGCATTGTCTGTAAGTACTGGGCAGAGCGAGCATCTCCACACAGCCAGGACCCGCACCAGCTCCCACTCCGATTTCAGTCTTTTGTTTCATTCTCAAGGGAGAAGAAATGAGAGGTCTGGGTGAAGGGATGATCAGTACACTCAGTAAGGTTTGTTTGGCTTTTCTAGAAACAAGATGTGCACATCTAAGCCTCTGGAAGGTATGACACTGCTATAAAAAAAATTGACCTTGTGACTGGGAATCCCTGCTGTGAAAACAATTGAGAGCCAATTGTTAAGTTTTCAGGAATTTTCTGAGCTGGATGTTAAACTGATGGTAACTTGAAATCATCCGTGATATTTACACCACAGAAATCAACAAATGCTACAAATCAGGGCTCCCTCCCACCCATTCAAAGCTAGTTTACTACCTCATTCCTTGATGATTAATGAACTGTAGAAATGATCCTTGAAAGTATAGTCTCACTTGATTATTCTATTCGTCATCATATCACAGGTTTCAAAGGAACTCTCTCTTTTTGGGGGGAGAGATTTCTTGCCAGGGAATGTGCGTATTGGGAGAATTTGGTTAGAGTCAGTGTTTCCAGAGTATATGACCTTTAGGCCAGTAGGTTTAGCAGGTGCTAAAATGTGAGAACCTCTGCTGTAAATGGCTCCCAACCTTCCCTGCACATTGAGAGTTATTTGGGAAACTTTAAAAAAATAAATAAAACCACATCCAAACCAATTAAATCAAAATCTCTGGGAATGAGCCCCAGACATGGGTGTTTTTTTAAAAAAACTCAGATTATTTCAATATGTTGAGATAATAAGGTTGAGACCCACTGAATAGAAAATACCATGCTTCTCAAAGCACTTTCACCTGCATTTTCTTATTGGCAATGATATGTAGCTAATCAACCAGCTGGAACTGGCTTAATGGAACAAGCAATTATAAAGTCATGGCAGTTAGGGAAGATGTTTAGAGAATTTGTGGAAATTTAAAGTATAAGCGTATGTTGCTTTTCAGTGCAGTGTCATTAGAAGTACACAATGAGATCTCTCCAAATTGAAGGCAAAATAAACTTTTCTTCTGGGCAAATCAACACTAGTTTAAGTCATAGACTTGGCTCAGGGCATGGGTTACACTTCATGTATCTCGTGTAATGCCATCCCCCTACCTGGGGTCCTACAAGGCTTCCCTAGAAGCCTCTCTCCAGTCAAAATGTGGCAAGATGCTGCAGGAAACTGATATTCCCTTGGCAAGAGCCTTAGGAACCTGCCCATGATTGTCCACAACTACAATTCCCAATCCTTATCCTCTAAAAAGCAGTTTATTAGTCTAACCTTCCTTCTCCACACCCCCCAGTCCCCCTCTGTTTCCCCTTCCTTCTCTTGGACCCAGTGCATTAAAAACCAGCTCAGCCTGTAATCCCGCACCTTTGGGAGGCTGAAGTGAGTGAATTGCCTGAGCCCGCGGGTTCGAGACCCGCCCGGGCAACTTGGCAAGACCTCATCTCTACAACAAATCAAAAAATCAGCCGGGCGTGGTAGCGCGCGCCTGTAATTCCGGCTACTCGGAAGGCTGAGGCGGAAGGATCGCCGGAGCCCAGCAGGTCGAGGCTGTGGTGGCCAGGAGCGGCCACTGCACTCCGGTCTGGGTGACAGAGTGAGACTCCAACTCAAAAAAAAAAAAAAAAAAAACTCTACCAAGAAAAATGCCAAAAACAATCAATTAGCAGTTCATATTCCCAATTTTACTTCTAAGTCCAATACAATCTCTGATGAGAATGAGAGGTACTTCACACTGAAATGGTCTAACCACAGCGTGGAAAATTGACATTTTAGTTAGTTTGTATTCCATTTGTCAGGTTTTTCTAAAATACTAAAAACAGTTTGCAGATACCCCTGTGTGCATCTGGTGACCCCTAGCATCTGGAGCTAGACACGTAACGCATCTTGCCCCTGGGGTTAATCACTTTCTGGCAAGGGCCAATGCTTTAACCCACAGGACTAACTAAGTTCTGGCTACAGGAAGTTGAGGCACCAGGACAGGCCTACGGGGAAAACACAAAATCCCTTAAATCATCTCTTGTAGACAACACTCTTCCTAGAGACAGCTGCGGCCCTAGAACTAAATAATGACATCGCTGTAAGATCTAAAGGACAGTGGGCTGTCCTTGAGTTGTAGAGGCAATGGTGGACATCTGGTGATGCTTCCTTCCTGCCTGTTTGACATTTCTTCTGGTGGTGAGAGAACCTGAGTTCTTTTGGAACATTCTCCCCACTCTAAAACCTCCATGGTTCCGTGGCGCTTTCTCTTGCTCTCTTAGCATCAAGGTAGGCATGAGTCCCAGACCTGATGAGAATGTCTATTTTTGTTTATGTTTATAGATCTAAATCTAAGGGGGTGGGTTAACTATAAGATACAAAGTTAATTTAAATTGGCATCCTCCAGTATTGGCCAGGAAAGAATGCTTTGGTACCCCTAGTATATTCCTATCCGAGGTAAGAGAGCATCAGATTCGGTATGGTATAGCGCCACCTAATGGCTGTGGGAAGAGAATTCCTGCCCAAGACAGGTGCTGCGAAGGGAATGGTGTCAAGGTACACAAATAGGGAATGTTTCTCATTGTATGTATCTTCCAGGTAACAAAACCATAGTAAATGGATAGAATTAAGATATTAGCACTTTACAACTCTTGATGAAAATAAAGGATTAGACAGTGGTCTTCAGTAGCTACCAAAAGCATTAGTGAGGCCGGGCTCGGTGGCTCAGCCTGTAATCCCGCGCCTTTGGGAGGCTGAGGTGAGTGGATTGCCTGAGCCCACGGGTTTGAGACCCGCCTGGGCAGCGAGACCTCATCTCTACAATAAATCAAAAAATCAGCCGGGCGTGGTAGCACATGCCTGTAATTCCGGCTACTTGGAAGGCTGAGGTGGAAGGGTCGCTGGAGCCCAGCAGTTAGAGGCTGCGGTGGCCGGGAGTGGCCACTGCACTCCAGTCTGGGCGACAGAGTGAGACTCCAACTCAAAAAAAAAAAAAAAAAAAAGCATTAGTGAGAAGCTGATGGCAAAAGTAGTGTAATGTCAGCGCAAGGATAGAAAACAGATTAATGAGCAGAAGAGATCATCAGGAGCAGAGCCACACCTGTGTCACCTGTTTCCAGCAAAGATCTCACCGCAGCACAGTCATTGCAGGGGGCGGGAAAGACTGCACCAATACGGTGGTTTTCCCCTCAAGCTAGACGCGGAAATTCTTCCAGATGGATTGTGAACCAAGAGGTGAAAAGTGAGACAACAAAGCTTCTAGAAGAAGACATAGAGGAAAATCTTCAGGATGCTGAATACAAGCCATAAAGAAAATATTGATAAATTGTATTTCATTTAAATTAAGCTCTTTTTTAAAATCAAGATTCCAATAAGAAAGTGAGAAAACGTTCAGTCACCGCCGCCAGCCCGTGCACTGTGTTCTGTCACCCTGCACCCCATGTCTCTGCCATGGGTCAGGAGGACTCCTACATGGGCAGTGAGGTCCAGAGCAAGTTAGGCATCTTGACTCTGAAATATCCCATTGAGCATGGCATCATCACCAACTGGGACAACATGGAGAAGATCTGGCACCACACCTCCCACGATGAGCTGCATGTGGCCCCCAAGGAGTACCCAGTGCTACTAACCAAGGCCCCTCTGAGCTATAAGACCAACAGAAGGAAGATGACCCAGTACATGTGGCTTGGCCACTTCGTGGTTGAGGTGAGAACATGTTTATGGAAGAGAAGTCCATTGTTTTGTGAACCTACGTGACCAGGAGTCTTGATCTGTGCAGAGTATTAATGTGTCAGAGCTGAGTATTCCAGGATTTCTCTAGAGGCTGGCAAGAGCTAAACGAGTTGTCATTTCTTTCTTGCTAACAGGATTGGAAGAGTCAAAGCCTTAGGACCAGTTACCTTTCTTAACTGTTATCCTGCCAGAACAAGGTGGGCTGTAACTTACCTTGAGTTGGAAGCGGTTTGTAAATTTATTCATCCTTTTAATTTAAAGTTTTTGTAGTGCAATTCTTAATTCTTTAAGCGATGGCAGTAAATTTTGGTTTTGACCTGTTATGTGAGAACATTAGGCCCCAGCAACACATTATTGTGTAAAGAAAAAATGCACAATAAACTGTAAAAAAAAACAAAAAAAGTGAAAAAGCAAGACAGCAGCAGGAGAGTTTTGCGGTAGATCCGTCTGACAGAGGTCTCAGCCCGAATGTCTAAGAAGCACTGCAAGACAATGGGAAAAGGTAGACAACTGTTTCTTTTAAACAGGCAAAAACATGACAGGTACTTCTTTTTTTAATTTTATTTTGAAGAGATGTTCAAATAGCCAATAAGGATGGACAAGTTACTCAACATCATTTTTTAGGGGAGAAAAAAAAAAAACTAAAACCATAATCAGATGCCACTGCATATCCACCAGAATGTCTGAAGTTGTAAAGCTAATAAATGATAATACCAAGTACTGTTGAAGCTGTGGAGCAGCTGGGGCTCTCACACACCACTGGTAGGAAGTAAATATCATAGGACCATTTGAGAACTGTTGGGGATCATCTACTAAAGCTACACACCTACATACCCTCAGGCTGAGCTCTTCCATGCTTAGGTAAATGACTACAGTAATGAACATATACTAAAACGCATGCTTATAGCAGGCTTACATATAATCTCTAAAAACTAAACGGCTCAAACATCAGCTTCTGACTAAATTATGCAATAGTATATTCATTCCGTGGAATTCTTCTTAGCAATATAAAAGAATGAACTACTGATATAACAACGTGGGTGATTCTCACACAGATAATGCAGAGTAAAATAAGCCAGACTCAAAAGAAAATGTACTGTGTGGTTCAGTTTACACAAAGTTCAAAAACAGGCAAAAGAAATTATTCTAGAAGTGAGAACAGACTATCTTTGGTGGTACTGATAGTATTGACAAGGAAAGGGCATGAGGGAGGCCTCTGGGGGGCTGACCACAGCCTGTATCTTGATCTGGATGGTGGTTACATAATGTATGTATTTGTGAGAATGAATTGGGATACCTGCTTACTATTCATGGTTGTTACGTAGTTATATTATACTTTTTTTTTTTTAATTTGTTTGTTTGTTTTTGAGTTGGAGTCTCACTCTGTCGCCCACTCCCGGCCACCGCAGCCTCAACCTGCTGGGCTCCGGCGATCCTTCCACCTCAGC